TCAGGGGGCTCGGGTTGCCATGGCGGAGCCGGGGAATCAGGAGCCCTCCGTGGGCTGAACTCGGGAACAGGAGCCCTCCGTGGGCTGAACTGGGGATCAGGGACACTCGGGGTAACATTCACAATAACCGACACTCAAGCTCAAACAGACAGGAACTAATAAATGGTGGCTAATTAGTGGCAGACAGGTGAGCACAATGACGGTGATTAACTAATGATTAGACGGGCTAAACCAACACAAGGGGAAGAAACCACAATAAACAGTCCACAGGGGCGTTACAGCCATTATACCCTGGACATAATAATAAATTCAGTTTTAACCTGAGCATTATAGTTTGAACATTATAATAAGAAATGATAACACATTGTTCTAACTCAACCTGTTAACCCTAAACAAAAGAGAGATGCTTAAGAGAACGAACAGCAGCTTTGTGTGAGTCTTCTGTTTGATGGTGCAGAAGCACTTTTTTCCCGATGTGTTTCCTCTAGGATTTTAGGATTGGCAGGGCTATTTTCCATGGACCACGAATCACGTGCCCTCAGAATTGAATTTATTTTAACTAAAAAAGACAAGTAAATAGCAAATAATAAAATTAAAACAAATGAATGACAATCAGTAGCACAAGCCAACCCTCTACATTGAGCAGTCTCTCCAGGATTTTGCGATTCTGCGATCACTGAATTTATCGCCAAATCAAGCAAACTCCGCAATTTTTGCAAGAGCTCGCAAATTTTCGTAATTGCTGCAGATTTTCCACAGATTTTGGGCTTAGACGCGTCCTGTGACGTCATCGCAACACGCATTCAGTCAAAGAAAGGTTGTTTCTCAGTTCCAAAAATGGAATGAACAGCCTTGCGTTCTCATCATGACCGATTTACAAGAGCTACATTGGAAAGCGGAATGAATCTGCGCTACTCGTTTGGGCTACGCATTGCAGACCGTTTATCTGCTCGGTCTGGTCTCGATCACGCAACACCGTTATACACAGCGCTGGGAGATACAGTGAAGAAAGTAGTCAAATTCGCTGCAGAATAGATAACATCTCCGTGAAATATTGTGAGAAGCATTCAAATTTGATGTAGAATTCTGTTAAAGCTACAGATATCAGAACCAACACCACTGATGTGGAAACCAGGAAAAACATTGTTCAATAAACACAAATCACCACCATTCACCATGAATTTAACAGTAAAACTACAGCAACAACTTGTGGCAGAAATGGTCTAATGTTTTCGAGTGTTTTTAAATGCTTTTTTAAAAGGTATTACCGAATTTGAAAATTATTTTTAATCTGATGACACTATTTGTTCATCCTTCATAGGTTGCCCCCATTTTTAAAACTAAAAGTTTCATAATGTAGTATGCAAACACTTATTTCAAAATAAAAATGACATTAAATTACCACTAGTAGATGGCTGCAGAGAAGTACTTATAGGCTTATTAGCCATTTCCACTCCCTAATATATATTATTTGTATTTATTCAATAATATTTAGACATTTTGAATGACAGTAATAAAAGTTAATTTTTTTTTAATTTTGTGCCAGACAGCACAAGTACATCTGTAAGACGTCTGCTAAAGATCTGGGAAACATCTGCTGTGTAATCTGATAAACGTCTTAGAAGCAGTTTTACATGCATTCTAATAAATGTCTATTTGACATCTGACAGGAAACATCTTAGAGACGTAATGCAGATGAGCAAACACTCTAAAAAATACATCTTGCATATGTAAATGCAGAGATCAAATAGACATCTCCGAGATGTACATGTGTGATTAGGGTGAGTGCTTTACTGTCAGGAGCTGGTGCCACCTTCTGTAGAACTTAATGGCACTGGTGCTGGTGTCCTCAAATGTTAGTCTGGAGCCCTACAATGGTTCTCGAAGTCAGAAAAGTCATAATGTTAGAAGAATGTTGTCTGTGGTATAATTTCAACTGCAAAACAATAAGAAATGCCGCAAATATCACTGCAAATTTTAAGAAAAGCCACAGCAAAATCAGTCATTTTAGGCCGCACAAATCAGAAAAAAAGTCCTGAGAAATTTTGGAGAGACTATTTAAAGAGTAAATCAGTCGTATATGCGACTAAATCTTCACACTGCGTGACTAAATGCCTAATATTAGCCACTGGCTAATAAATTCTCAGATTTTACTCACCAGTGTGTGAGTTATAGGCTAAGCATAAGTTTAGCGCACATATATTTTCATTCGCCGAACCCTCTGACTGAGTGCTTCAGAGTTTCATCTGTCAAGCGATCTGTGCCATTTTTCAGTTAATCTCAATGGACGCGCAGCTGTGTTTGATGTACCGTAAACTCTAGTGTAAAGGTGCATGACTCGCCGTCGCTTCGTTTTTTTCTCACACGCAAAGAGAGAGAGAGAGAGAGCCATACAGAATTGACCTATTGGTAAGCCCCTCCCCTCGAACGCAGATGAGCCAATGGCGGTAGAGTATCAGTTGCACGGGGAGCAGAACTCGGGACATATTTAGGTTTCAGCTGCATAAAGAAACATTGGAAGCTCTTAAGCTTGCTTCGGTTTGATGGTGGTTATGCTACAAAAATGTGCCGAACTCATCCTGTCTGACAAACCCAAAGTGTACAAGCAGTATGATGCTTCCCAGACAGTGTGTGAGTACTGGATTTTCTATTAAGGTGGGGAATCCAAATGTGAAAAAATCTGATTGTAACAATATTTCACTGTAAAAAAAAAAAAAACTTTTGGAGTGAAGCAGTCGTCGATCTTCTTCTGCGGAGGAGGTGCTTATCCACACTATTACATCATAAAGTGGCACATTCCACAAGCTGTCGTTTTGGCAGATTGGCTACAATATAAGGTGTTTTTAGACTAACAAGACAGTTCTGAGTTCTGAGACTTACAGGATGTTTTTATGGTACAATTACCTTTTTTATATATCAAAATATGAAGGAAATTTGGGTTTCTCAGCTTATGACCCCTTTAAGGAGTGTAATATAAAGTTAAATTGTATTTCAAAATATTTAAAATACTTATAATATATTTCAAATATTTCAAAGTATATAACCAATATATGTGTGGCTTTCTGTGCATGTGATTACTTTGCTTACTGCATTAACAATAAGCATGTCACACGTATGTAACAGTCATGTGTCCAGTCTACACTCTGCTGTCTGTGTCGAAATCTTTTTTGGACTTTTTGTAATCTTTTGAAGTATTAAATCATGCATTTATTGCAAGCTGTTGCAATATGCATATTGAGATATGTACATTTGCAATTTTGATATATTGTGCAGCCCTACCAAAATTATGTCAAAATTACTGTCTTGGTGAGTATTCACATAAACACAGTCGGTTATGTCTTAGGTGGACCAAACAGTTCAGAAAGTGTGTGTGTAGCAAAATATTGCAGCCCTTAAAGTTACAGCAACTAAATAAACCTGTTTCCATCTGTGTGCTTAATATGAACCAAACAACAGAAGACAGAGAGAAAATCATGCTTTCTTCAGGCATGCTTTCTTCTCACAAAAACAATGTGAAACATCTAGTGAGTTATGGAGTTTTCAGGTTTTAAATGTATATATAATTTAAGTTTATTTTACACACTTTAAGCAGTATTGTAGTGCATATCAAATATTGCATTATTTAACGAGTTATCTCGATCGCATTTTTCTTCAATATCGTTGTTTTTGGCATACAAGAATACAGTCAACCTTGTTGAGAAAAGAGACAACTAGATTTGTATAGATCATGGTGGCCTCCATATAAAGACGAGTCAGGTAAGCAGAATAAATTGCACTGTAAATAAACATTATTAAAACAAATGGTAAAGTAACTAGTAAAATTAGTTTATTAGTTTAATCCCTATGAATCAAAGCAATTTAATAACTATATGACATTATCACACACTAATATTTAAAAAAAATGTCCCTTTCATAGCAAAAGGCAATATTATTATTCTGAATAATATTCTCTATATTGCACAAGGATTAGGGAATAACTTTCTGAATAATTTGCACATGCTTTGATGTTTTTAGATCACTTATGGAATTTAATGGATTTATAGTATTGCATACATTTAAATTTCTGAAATTATTATAAACCTTAAAAATACTTTCTTTAAGAATTGTGCTATGCATTTACATGTATCGGAGTTGGTTTGGGATCAAATGTTATCTCTGTTGCTAACTTATAGGCTTTGCACCGCGATTGGTTGCAAAACGCGGTACTACACATGGTCGGGTAAAACGGTTTAAAATTAGTTCACTTTTAAAAATGTTACAACAATCCCACCAATAACAAACATACTATCATAAAACCATACATTTCCACCTATCAAACTATGCTTACCTCTCAACCATCAACGACAGTGAGGAGACTCGCGTTCAGCGTGACTGGCACTTCTTCATCCATTGGCTTAATGGCGACTTGCATACATCGCCACCTATGGGGTTGCTCAATTATATTTAACAAAGAGGGACTCTCAAACTGGGAGGAAAAGAAAGAAGTAAAAAAAAAATGATATGACCATTATATTTTTGGTAACACCATTGCTTTGAATATAGTATAGTAAAACACAAACACGCACTATATAGTAACCCTATCTTTTTTTACCTTTAATGCTAAGTTAACGCAATGTGTCTGTAACAATGTTTGTAGGTCGGGAAGGAGGCGGGAACCGACGAACATTTAAACAATTTAATAATAACATAAACAAACACAAAATGAAAGTAAAGCGGCAGCCCCTCGCGGACGACTGCCGCACACAAAACACAAAATAAAATCCAGCCCTGGTCCTCTCTCGTCTTTCACTGTCATAACTCCTCCTTTTATCCTTCCGGAGCTCCTCCGTGGGACCCGAGACCGGTGAGTGGTGCAGCTCATCATCAATTACTCCACCGGCCTCCCTCCGTTCCCACGGCTCTCGGCCCCGCCCCCACTAGTCACAATGCGGTTTAAGGTTCAACCTTGCTCGGTTCCCACGGCTCTCGGCCCCGCCCCTCTCGTCACAGTGCCGGGGTCTGTGCCCACCGCGCGCACACCTGACTCCCCTTTGAGTGACATCCCCAGCAGTGCGTTTTCCTGAGGTGAATACATTTTTACTTAACCAATTTAGTTAAATTACTCTTAAAAGTACAGGCCGACAACAAAAGTAAATGACATTTAAAACTATTTAGAAAAAAAGTAATAAAATGTAATTATATTAAAGTTATTATACTAACAAACAGTCTGAGGGAACAGTTCGTTTGTCTCAGGGTTATAACTACTAAAATAAATAGCAGCCGTTTTTACTTATGAAACCCATTAAATTGTTATAAAAATTGGACTGTCTTTTCCGATAAATGTATCACATTTTACACAGACAACGATTTTCCGTCTTTTTACATACAGTCCGCTCATAAGCGCCGTTAAATGCCGTTACATCAGTGTGACGTCATTGCTAATGAAGCCAATCCGCTCCGTTTGAGAGACGCTCTTTCGTTTCAGTAATCTGTCATGTTAACGTTACTTAAAAAGAGACCAATTATACTTAATATCTTCATTGTTTATATTTGTATGGAAAATAATGCGTTGTCACAGGTTTGACGCTGCGCGTGCACCTGGAGAGAGAGAGAGACGAGACTCCTGTATAGATTAGAACTCTATAATGAAATCGGTCATCCCTCATTTTGTAACAACCATAATAATAATAATAATTTTATTTTATTAAATTAATTTCAATAATAATTACATTTCTGTAATAATTAAAGGTTTAATTATTATGATTATTACCATGAAAATAATTATTATTCTCTCTTTTTTTCAGTGTAGATTGCTGTCTGATTGTTGTAAGTGAAAATAGTAGCAGTCAACCTACATCTCTGATTTGCCAGATTCATCATAACATGCTAATTAATCAATAATCACTGATGAAACTGAAAACATTTAAATTTGTACAGACACATTTTAATTTGTACAGATATATCTCACTCATATTTGTTCTTCTTTTTCTCTCTTTTTGCTTGTGTCTACAGCAGCTACATACACCACAAAGGCTCTTTTAAGAGCCACATCTCAGAGAGCATCTTTGGCTTTGTAAGTAGGCCTATACATTTTTATTCATGCATTCTAATTCATACAGAGATTTGCAATATCTAATATTGTCTTTGTTTATTTTTCAACTTTGTCAACAGTAGCTACATATACCCCAAAGGCTCTTTTAAGAGCCACATCAGCATCTTTGGCTTTGTAAGTACATGTTTTGCCTGACACCTTCTCAGTATTTTGGTTTAGATCAGTTAAGCCAGTGTAGCCAGTTTTCTAGGGTCAGAAAAAAAGACCCTTTAATTATGAATCTATTTAAAATAAACTCCAGTCAGTCCTTTGCACAAAAGATGTTGTCTCTTTCTGGAAATCTGTTTGCTTTGACCTCATATGCACTATAAATACAAAAAATATGCCCAATTATTACTGAAACTCAACTGAATTAAGCAAAATAAATAAACCTAAAAACATTAACTTACGTTTTTTGTCAACCATTAGCTATAGCAATAGCATACATACATGAACATCACTGCATCAGCAACTACCATGACTTTTAAATAAAGCAACATGCAGCATACCATCAACATGTTTTAGTCTGTCCTCAGCAGCAAATCCCAACAGAAAATTAAACATTTCCTTCACATTCATTAAATAACAAAAATAAAAAAAATAAAAATAAAAAAATCAGTACATGTTAACATTTATTCTACTGTGTTTTCAAAACTTTTTTCGTATAAGAGCAATGAACTTTCACTATTGGGTGAGTGAAATGCACTTGTTTAATTTAGTGAATTTGACTGTTAGGTTTAACAGTAAATTACTGTATTTTTTAACAGATTATCTTAGCAATTTAGCATTACTTTTCTGTTTTTTAACTGACAACTGTTTGTCTTACAGGACCATGAAGGTAAATTTATAGTTTATTATTTTTTTAAATAAGCTTCATGTTTTGTATTAACCCCACAGCAAAATGTATTGTAACCTGTAAGATTTTTGTGTTTTATGTAGAGATACAAGGCATTGGCTCATTGTCCATTAAAGATATGATTTGTTTAGATAGATAATTTAAAAGAAAAAAGGAGTAGTAGAAAGTTTTAATTTAAGATATTCAACCAATATCCAATGAATTTTGAATAAAATTTAGCATCTCATTTGTTGACAACCGTATTGACATTACTCTACATAGCCTACAACCACCACGCTATCTATAGAGTCTTCTTGCTGACGGTTCTTAAGTTTGTCAACAAGTTTTCACTTATTAAAATAAATAGAATACGCATCAAATTATTATTTATACAAACAATTATACATGACCGTTACGGCAAAATAAAGCAACTAAGACGCTGTGGGGAAAAATAAAACGTAACCGTCACTACGTTCCCTCACCCACCATGTTTAAAATTTATGGCCCGCCCGGGTATCAAAATTTTCTCCTGAGTTTTCCAGTCATAAATACTAAAGAAGCCGTTCACCGATTCCGATACACGAATGCAGTATAAAATCATTCAGTTATCGCATGCCGTTGCTACATGCATATCCCGATGTGTACATTTACGATATGTCGATAATTTCGATATACAAAGCTTGCCGATTTGTCAAAACATTAGGATATAATAAGAGCATAGTAAAATGCTTACCTGTCTCAGCATTTAAGCGCTTTAAACCATTAACAAAGTCCAATAACCGCTGCGACCTGCTGTCATGTGTAAAAAGACCGAAGCATGTTGGCGAGATCTATTGGCGGACGAAGCACCGCTAGTTTATACCGCCACCTAACGAAATAATTGTCAAACCAAATGCAGAATCTGACAGTAGTAGCAACAATTCACTTAATCAGCTGCAAACAAAACTGCAAACATGGGCAGCGTCTTTTTGCATTCCTCTAGTAGCTTTAACAGCACTACTGTCAATCTTAAGATCAGAATTTCCTGATTTGCCCAAGGATGCAAGGACCCTTCTTGGTACACAGTCAAAGGTACCCGTAGCAAACATTTGCAATGGTGAATATTACCATTTTGGCCTGGTAAATGTCTTGCAAAACATATTAGGCCGCATCTCCAGTATCCCTACAAATTTAAAGGTCCCATGACATGCTGCTTTTTGGATGCTTTTATATAGGCCTAAGTGGTCCATAGTACTGTATCTGAAGTCTCTTTCCCGAAATTCAGCCTTGGTGCAGAATTTCAGCCACTACGAGCCAGTCCCACAATGAGCTTTCCTTAGGACGTGCCATTTCTGTGTCTGTAGCTTTAAATGCTAATGAGGAGGAGAGAGGCGGGGCACCAGAAGAAAGTAAATAAACGAATAAACAAACAAACAAACAACCTGCGTTAGGGAACCACAGTGTAAACTGGCCCTGAAAGGACAAAATTACTGTACAACATGCATAAATTTACATTTCATATAACAAAATAAAGCCGTCATTTTCTCCCCATTATTATTTTATTACTATTGTTTTAACATTTTGTGTATATATTGTAAATACTTAATAAATTAATTTATTTGGCCAGTCCCATTACATAATACCATTAACAGACAGTTATATATTGAAACAATTGTCACTTTGGTGTTTGACAGTACTTTGCTAAAAATATCCCTTGGTTGGGGAAAAAGTAGTAAATATTTGTTCTATCTTTCCATGCATAGATAATTACCATTTTACTTACATAAATTATCATTTGCATTTTTGTCAATTGCTAACACACAATTCATGAAATAATTCATTGTTTTGTCACAACTATAAGCACAATTTCAAAACTTCACACAAACTTGTACAAACCTCAAATTTCCTGTCACAATCAAGTATTTCAGTCAAAAACATTCTATTTTGTCATAATCTAACTAGCCTCATATGACACAAAACCTGGCAAATACAGATTCTTCACTGTCTGAAAAATTAGTCAGTAATCATTGGTAAAAAAACAAAACAATACGTTTTAGTTTATAAAGCAATATACAACTCATATTCAGTTATGTTTCTTCTTTTTCTCCAATTTGTTTGTCAACAGCAGCTGAATAAACCCCAAAGGCTCTTATAAGAGCCATCCAAACACAGGGCATCTTAGCTTTGTAAGTATATTTTTACTGATTAATACTAAAAGATTTATTAAAGCTACATCATACGGCAAGCTAATCAACAGAAATGTCTTGATAAAGACAGTATTTGCATATAGTCTTCTGAAAACTCTCATCCTCTCAAACTCTCAAAGACCCATGTTGTTGTCAATCTCCACTCTTCAACACAACTGCATTTTACAGTAAAAAGCCATTTTCTTCTAAGTGCAATGTTGGTCCATGAAGGTCATTCATTTTTATAATTCATTTTCAGTAGCTAAACCCTTTAAAAGTTTTAAATTAAGATAAATGGCCCAGAAAGGTAATGATAAAAGCGTAGAAGTTTCACCAATTGAAAGATTTTACATCAATTCCATGCAAAATGGGACAGTACCATGTGATCTTCTTTTGTGGAACACAAAATGTTAAATTCTTAATCCATACATTCCTGAACATTTCCATTTAGAATTGAAGCAACTTTATTACTATTTACATTTTTGGGTTAACTATTCCTTTAAGAAGCCTCCAAATAAAGTTGCATGTTGAATCAAAATGCTTAATTAAATAGGCAGATTTAAAATCAACAAAATTTGTTTTGTTTTTTTTCTTTATTGTCCTTATTTACGGTTCTTATTTTTGTCTTTCAGGAGCATTTCCAAAGAAAAAACATCCACGAGATGCAAGTAATAATTACAAACACAACACTTCCCAACACATCAACTTAACATTAACACTAACTAGCTTTTATAGAAACAATATCCCTGTAAATATAGATCTGTATATAGCCCGATACATGTACAAAATACTGACAATAACACACACATACACATATCACAATGTCTTACTGGACTAAAAGGAGAAAGACTTTAACAGATAGAAAAGGAGATTTTGGATGAATACCAAACACAAACTAAAAACACTAATGAATTTAATGTTCTTGGTCACAAGAGTCAAAACTCTGGAACTAGAGAACTCTCATCTTTTTGTAATATAGTTTCCTCTCTTGCGCCCCCACATGAGAACTCATGTGATCTGGAAAAAAACACTGACGCTGATTTTTCATTTGATTCGGAAACTCCCTCTGATCCTGGTAGTATCTCTGATTCAGTCAAACCAAATGCAGAATCTGACAATAGTAGCAACAATTCACTTAATCAGTTGCAAACAAAACTGCAAACATGGGCAGCGACTTTTTGCATTCCTCTAGTAGCTTTAACAGCACTACTGTCAATCTTAAAATCAGAATTTCCTGATTTGCCCAAGGATGCAAGGACCCTTCTTGGTACACAGTCAAAGGTACCCATAGCAAACATTTGCAATGGTGAATATTACCATTTTGGCCTAGTAAATGGCTTGCAAAACATATTAGGCCGCATCTCCAGTATCCCAAAAATTTAACAACTCTTGCTGTGCAGTTCAACATTGATGGCATTCCCCTGTTTAACATTCCCCAATTCTTGCAACAGTTGACTGATAAAACACAATCTCCATTTATAATTGGTTTGTTTTATGGCAACAGTAAACCAAGCTCAGTCTGGGAGTACTTGAGAGATTTCATTGCAGAATTGAAAGTGGTTCTGGATGAAGGTATTGTGGAGAATGGTACTCGGTTTAAAGTTGCTGTCTCCTCCTTTATTTGTGACGCCCCTGCACGAGCATTTGTTAAACAAGTGAAGTCTCACAATGGCTATTTTGGTTGTGACAAATGTTCACAGACTGGAGTATGGTCAAATAAAATGACATATCCTGAAACGGATGCTTCACTATGTACGGACTTGGTACAGAATGGTAACCCAGTTCCCGGTAGATTACATGCACACCTGCTGCCTCGGAGTGATTTTCATGCCATGGGACCTTTAACAACTCTTGCTGTGCAGTTCAACATTGATGGCATTCCCCTGTTTAAAAGCTCCAGAACACGATTTTGGCCAATTCTTGCAACAGTTGACTGTGATAAAACACAATCTCCATT